TAAAGTAAATTCTTAATGTAATTAAATTTTATCCTAAATGTAGGCAACAACTTAAAACATTATATAATGGTAACCGTACAAATATCCTAACATTGTATAGTTTTAGGCGTACTTTAAGAGATTGTGCCACATGAATTACCGGGAAAAACTCTAAGTGACAAAATTACCACAAGCGAAACGTAGCTGATTCGTAACATAGTCGACCCATTTCTGAAGCGTACTGGTGATGAAAACTGATCACGGTCATGGCTGAAGTGCACTAAACTGGTAAAAATAGTTTTCAAGCGAGGATTGACGCTCAGCGAGATTTTGTTGTGTGTTTCGTGGGGTTAACATGGAATCATCCACTATGAGCTACTTTTCCACGAAAACGGTCTTCATTGAGAACTCTACTACCTGCAGTTAGAACGTCTGAAGAAAGCAGTACCACAGAAGGGACCAGCTTTGGCCTAAAGAAAAGCAATTGTGTTTCATAAGGACAACGCCAGACTGTACACAGTGGCAGTGACTCGCCAGAAACTTCTCGAGCTTGATTGGGCAGTGATTACAGTATATTCCTGTCTATAGCTTTTAAATGCATAAATTATCTCTTCTTCTTACTGCACCTAATATATACAACCTTTAGCTGGAGAAGAAAGCTAAAAATCTATTGGTAATCTTATAAAAATACTATGAAGTGTTCCTTTAAATTTCTCTTTGCGTAAGAATTTCTTATGTTTCAGCAAAAAAAAAAAGAAGAAAAATGAGAAAGAAAAGAATTTTTCCGCAAACGAAAGTCATTTTCACCACAAATTGTTTCATTATGGCTAGGCCAGCAACGCCAAAGAAAAAAAAAAATATTATAAATACCTTGCTCAGGGGTCCAATTAGTTGATGCGCGGCCAAGAGGAGACGGATTGAAAGTCTAATAAAAGGAAGCACGGCCAAAAAAAGAATGAAGAAAACTAAGCTGAAGTTGCCATCTAATAATGCTGAAGCCCAACAGTTTGATAACAAGTACATATGTATATCTGTATTTACATACATACACTCACTTGCTGTTCAAAGGCTGGATGCTACGTCAGCACGCGTTTAGCTAAAGGTGGGCAGCAAATGAAGCGCAACATCATAAAATGGCTAAATAGAGAAAATGAAAAACGTGAAAGAAGAAAATACTAAAGTGGTCTATATGTTCTGCTTGCAAGGTGTATTTACTTTTCGGCTTAATGATGATGAGGCTTCTTGTTTCTGTGCTTGCTCTGTGGAAGAGAGATATTTACGTACACTTGTTGTGCCCATCATAAAATAGGAAACATATTTACATATTTCTTTTCGCTATTGTTATAAATCTATCTTAGTATGTTTTCTTAAAGGCATCTTTTGCTCGAAATACCATCAAGACAGTGTAAAAAACTGTGGGAAATAATTAGTTGTCTTTTAGAAATTTTCTGCTTCTGTTTATACAGATGGCATAATTATTCTCCACATAACCATTGGAGAAGCTCATCATATTTACCATCACTTCGCAAATTTAAATAGTAATTAAAGATTTATAATTACGTTCATGACATGCACTGCAGGTCAGCCTTTGAGGTTGTTCCTCTTCTGGTTTATTGAGATATTTTTCATCGCCTTTTTAATGATAATTTAGCTTCGGGAAAAATTTGCTTTCCACTCATCTTCAAAGCTTACGCTAAACATATGGATATATGAGCAGCCGATGCACAGTGTGACAGTTGTATTATTTTTTTAATATTGATTAAGGATAATTTTTTTGTTTAGACATTTAGTCAGATAAGTATATGTACATGTAGACATACTTAGATGTTCAAAGTTTGTAAAAACAAAAGAAACTTTTGAGTTGAGTTGAGTTGAGTTGTTTTTTGTTCTTACGTCATTTTTGAATTTTTGATTAAAACTTCTCTGCAGAACACGTCTATGTATATCCTTTGGAGGGTAACCAAAAAAACGTTTGGAGGCACCCTCAAGTGCGGTTGTTGCTTAGGCTTAAGACTCAGTACTTAAAAAAAATGCTAAAGTAAACCATGTAGACATGCTTCGGATTAAATGACGGCCTCTCCAAACATTTTAAGGATCACGATTTGAGGACATGTACCTGAAATCTCTGATACCTTAACTGGGAAGTTGCCGCTGCCGAGCTGATTGGTGTGGCTCCTAGTGAAGTATACTGCAGCAGCCACATAAAATACCGCAAATTTGGTGTTGTCACCTCAGCTATAACCACTTAAGTCATGCCTGTGCCAATGAAGAGGAAGAAGAATAAACTGCTCTTATAGTAAACTATTTGAATGTAGCTTTGAAGCGTCCAAAAATAGACTACATTATTTGCGATGCCTCATCTTTACTGATATTGTTTTTTTCATCCTCTTAATATCGTACTGATATTATGAATTTTGCTCCTAACTGAAGTTTTCTAGATTTCCTTTAAAGGACTCATTATACTACTTCAACTTCAACAACTACTTCAAGGTTATAAAGAGTTGAGTTGAGTTCTTAAATGCAAGCTCATCTATATTCTTGAGCTTTGAGCTTTCGTCATGATTGTAATGAACTATAAACCAGCTCTAGCTGCCTTCACCTTGGCATCTGAGAGGCCTGGAGGCTTTGACATTTAGTATTTGAAGATTTTCTATCCCTGGGAAGTGACTTCAGAAATGTCTTCGTACGTACGATGCGCGTGAAACCTCGCGGTACGTTTTTTTCGCTTCCACAGAGAATGATTAGTTCGATTTCTGCTGTCCCACACATAACAAAAGAAGGGAATTTAGTTAACCAGATATCAGCGCATACTTACAAGTTCCTCTGAGAGAATCAGAAGTGCCTTGGAACAACCTAAACGCAAATGCTCTGAATCGTATGAGATCTCAGATATATATAATATACCAAATCTTGGAAATTTCCAAAATAAAACCACTCCTCCGAAGGGCGCAAAGGGGAAGCAAGCAAAACAGCCGCGGTTTTCGTTTTTGGGTAGACTCAATTTACTCACTTAACACATCATCCAGCTCGTTCTGTGAAGAGAATTATGGACTACTGTTATCCTTATATTCATAACTTGAACTGCAATCGGTCTTTAGTGCAGCAGAACCCAGAGGCTGTCAAAACTTGGAATCACTTTCTGGGCAAGGGACCTCAGGTGTTGCTTTTTCGGTCCTACGAGGAATGGCCAAATAGCTGACTGATAACTTCTGATTTGTATTTAACTTTTTAACTCTACATTATCACTTTATTTTTTGTTACCTGTTTTTTCACGTATGCCCTGCATGTGGAGAGTGTCCGCACGACAATAATCACCTCTTCACATGCCCTCTCAGACCAACTTATCTAACCTTCTTCTCCCTTTGGCCCAACCTCGTCGAAAAAGCTCGTTTCCTGCACCGCCAAATAAATGATCTCGGTGACTTTGATTAATCAAACCTGTGCCTAAGCGGGTTTAGAGAACCGCTACAACAAAAACAGCAACTAAATTTTTTTCCATACCAAAATAGTGCTGAGATTATAAGTGCTTTTTGCTATTCCGATGACCAAGGTCTAACCAATATCCATAATTATAGAAAGTTAATTTTTGCCCTTTCACGAACATGAAATTGCATTTTAAATTTGGTCTAACGAATGAACATACAAAAAGAAGAAGAGATAGATCCATCAAAATTTATACCGTTCTGACCAGAGTGACGATTTAAGTTGATTTAGCTATGCCCATCTGGTTATCTGTTCAAACAAGTGCCGCAGTTTTTGAGATGTTTCAACTAAATTTGATACAAAAATGGACAATTATCGTTTATCGGATGGTTTTTAATGAATTTTTTTTGCTTCAAGCTTTATTCAAACTAATTTCTTACAGTTTTTGAATGTTAGTCGAACAATGACTTTAACCACGGCCTTCCAAATGGCAGTACGCAAAACCAACTGTTGAGCTAAGGCCTAAACTAAATATATATATATATGTATATATATAAGTGCAGGGCTGACTTTATTTGCGCGACTGTTATTATTAGATGATTACACCAAATAGAAATTTAATACCGAAAAATCTTCAACAACAGTATGCTAGCCACTTTCTTACATATTCTCTTTAATCTACTGTTTATCTAATAAAAAGAAGGCACAAGCTTCCATAACTTTTACGAATTGATAAAAACAAGATGTAGACTTTAAGGGAAATCATTAGCGCCAGACGTAACTGTCTGTTCAAGTAATGCCTATGGCAATGACAAAGCCAGCAACCACAAAAGCAATTATCACGTTTAAATTGGTCTAGTAGCCAAAGCAACTCAAATGGCAACTAACATCCGATAAGCTTACAAAGAAGAATTGAAAATGAAAAGAAAACTTCACTCACTGAATACATTTGCGTCCAGGTACTAAAGGAAAAATAATTGTTAATTTTCTTTATGTTTCTCTCTGGTTACCTGTTCCGGCAGTGTGGGCTTCCAGTTGCGTTGTGTGCAGTAAACTGCTGTGATGAGCAGTGGCGGATTCTACCGTCTCAAAATGTTTACAGATATTTTAAATTACATATTTAACACATTAAGAGTTTAGTTGATATTATACCGGGTTATCTATTCTGCGTTTTCAGTTATAAACTTCTTAAAATGCATTTAAAATATTTTTTTTGAAATTCTTTTTCGATTATAAGGTTTGGACCTTGGCATTATTTTTAAATACTTTATCATTCAAATGAGGGCCTCACAAATTTTTGCCAACTTCAATCCGTTTGGGGTAATTTTCGACCAGTATTTGGTACATATTGTGCGGAATTTCAGCCATAACTTGACGTATGCTGGCTGTCAAGTGCTGAAATGTTGAAGATTTAAACACGTAAACTCGGTCTTTCGCGCAGCCCTACAAAAAAAGTCGATTGGTTAGCTAGCTTCGGTTTTTGTGTGAGCTGGACTCAAAGTACAAAACGTGGCAACGCTTGAATTACTATTTTTTATTGTGGGTTTTAGCAATTCAGATTTAAAAATTCTAATTAATTAATATATGATCTATTTGCTTTCGCTTTTGACAGTAGATATTGTAACCACCACTTTGCTGCCACTTTGATCGAAATTTTGGTCATATTTGCATTCCAAGTAATAAGGCAAGTGAGGTAAAGCCTGGCTGGATTTTTTATATCTTGCGCTGGAGATTTAATGATTTATTGTGAATTTCATAAGGTTATTCCTTTAAATTTAAGATGATTTATTAATTCAAAGTATTATTAAGGGGAAGGGTGATTTTTTAGCTATTATCTTTTTGTCAACACTGGTTTAAACAACTGACGCACGTTTCGTGTTTTTTTATCACTGTCAACCATCTTCAGTTTGGTCTATATTTTCAAAGTGAATCGTCTTACAAACGAATAACGCTGGGAAATTATTGAATTCTATTATTGAAACGCGTGCTCTGTTCATCGTTCGAAGCTCATTTTTTGCTTAATGGGTGTCGTAAGTATGCAGAATTGTAGATTTTGGAATGAAGATCAGCCAGGAGCATTGCAAGAGCTACCAATGCATCCAGAAAAAGGCAAAGCTTGGTGCGCTTTATGGACTGGTGGTATTATTGGACCGTACTTCTTCAAAGATGATGCTACCGTGAGATGATATCAAACTTTGTTTTACCCAAAATGCAAGAGCTTGACTTGCATGACATATGATTTCAGCAAGATGATGCCACATGCCACACAGCACGCGTGAGAGATGGGTTCGGTGAACATTTTATTTCCCGTTCGGAACCCGTCGATTGGCCACCTGGATCATGCAATTTAACGCCTTAAGACTATCTTTTAGGCTATGTTAAATCTAATGTCTATACAGGCAAGTCCGCTACAATTGAAGCATTGGTGGACAAGATTGAAGCATTTATTCGTGAGCTACTGGCCGAAAGATTGGAGAGATTGGATTAGACTAAGCGGATGGACCATTTGAGGCGCAGTCACGGTCTACATTTGCATGAAATAATATTCAAACATTAAATTATATCGACAGTACTATCGATTCAAATAGAGATTATATGCATTTTTCTGAATTTCATATGTGTTTTTTTTTAACTTTCCTAAAGCTCTTAAAAAATCACCCTTTACAATATCGACGTAGCGGTAGAAGCATATTTTTTTCTTGACGTACAACTCACTGACTCATAATCGCCTTTTCCTAATCGCCTGTTTACATTTTTTCCATTTTCTGTGGGATTAATTTCAAGCAATACGTAAACCTATATAAAATAATTTTCAAAAAATGACAATATTGTACCAGGATATGCGGAATTATACGCTGAAATCAAATCCCTTTTCCACACTTTTAGTTTTTTTTTCGATTTATCGATGGGACCATGCTCTTTCCAATGCAGGACATTTTCTACTGGACTTAATAAATAGAATCAATTTCAGGTGGAGATCGTTTTGCAGCATAAATTTCAAGTATTGGGATTTGAAAGAAAATCTGTTTCTAGAAAAAGAAAAAAAGAACAAACTTTAAACAAAAGTACAAGAGAAAATAATGGTGGCTAAGGGAAAAATGGTAACAAAGCACAATAAAGAAATAAATCTGAGCTTAACAATTGTCTCTTACTTATGCGGTTGACCAAAGCTCACGTTTGTCCCTTCTCTTCGTTTTACTAGCTGGGATTTCACCCATGCATATGAAACAGCACTCTGGCTTAAACCTAAAAGCTGTAAAGTTGTACGTACAACAACTAAGAGATCAACATATGCACGAGTGTGTATACGAGTATTAAACGTTTATTCTAGTAATTATGTATGTATGTTATTGCTAGAGATCCGCTTTGGTTAGTTGGTAAGATTTAGAATTGTATAATCACTTTATGCGCTAGCGGCTTACTGGCACACACACTCCCAAAGACATACGTAAGCCAGACAGGCGCTACGAGCCCTCCTAATGGCGCAGGGCTGTTGTGCTGCGAAATATGTATGTATGTGTATTCTACTTAAAATATGATATGGATGATATTGTTGATGCTGATGATGACGCTCATAGTTTGCTTGTTCTCGAGCGTAAAATTAAGATACACAAAAGCACATTTATATCTGCCATATGCATATAAATAAGTGTGAATGAGCTTGAGGTATAAAACATAATCTGTTTGCATTCAAAAATGAATTTATGGTAGATATTGTAGGTTCCAGTGAATCCAGGTCCGTCTCCACCTGATACTTTCACCGAACAGGAGGCCTTTCTATTCTTCTGCTTCCACTAGCGGAGTTTTTTCGCCCATTCCGATGAAATGACATAGTCAACGTAGGCGCTGGCTATCAATCCGCTGTAGCCGAGTGGATAGCATTGTGTTTTTTCTCTATCTTAAATTGTCACCAAAATTGAAAAACGACTTAAAATAATGTTTTGGAATGGGCTACAAGTTTTACGAAAATCTTATCAATTTGAATGAAAAGTAAAATTAATTAAGCAATAAACTTAGTTTACATTAAAATTTATAACATTTTGAGAAATACTTTATCATAATTCCGTACATGATACAAAAATTCTATAAGGTGGTTTCACTTCAAAATTTTTGACCTAAGCGCGTTTGCTCAGAATTGTTTGGTTTTGCCACTTATAACATATTCAACTTGGAGCTTTTTTCATTAGTTTTGGGTTTTTAGCTTCTAAGCAGATGTTATAATATCGAGTTTGTTTGAAGCCGTTTTTTTTCAGGCGTAGAGAAGAGGATTTCCTATATGCTTTTTACCATAAATAAAATGGAGAGTTGTGATTTTTTACTATTTTTCGAAGATAATACTTGTAGGTTTTCTCTGGTCAGTGGGACAACCCAAAATCTGCACTTCTTCTATACACAACCTCCAAAAGCATAACGACCGGTTTGTAAACCGGACACTCTGCAGAGAGAACTACTGGTGGAAGGTTGTTTCCCAAAAAAACTTTCCTTTAGTACTGCCCAGCCTCTCAGTGCTTTCTGCCATCGATTTCTCGGGAATTTCTTCTTTGACTGCTTGGAATAATTAATCGGCTTTACTTCGTGAAATACACCAAGTGTGGTTTGAGCATCTAGAAAACTGATAGAAATCTTCCTCACAGAACCAATATAGGCATCAACACGAGATCCTGTTAACCTAACTAGCGGACTGTAATATTTAGAAGTGTTTGAAAATTTAATCTTAAATGACTTTTAGCGAAATTATGATATGAGATTTTATAATGAAATTGTACTACTCCAAAACTGTGAGATTGATACATACAAACGTCGATTGCAAATCCAGTCAGCTCATTATTTTTTGAACTCGGTTTAAATTTTGGTTGACGAATCTCTTCCCTTTCTGATACTTTCTTTCAGATTTCTGAGATTGAATACAAAAATCACGAAGGTATACACTGGAATTCACTATTTGGGGTTGAAATTTAAAAAATATGTAAATTCTTCACATATTTTTTTTATTTAAAATTCATAAATATTTTTTAAGAGAAGAGGGTAGTACCAAAAATAAAAAAAATGTTTAATGTCAGATACCTATGAAACCGACAGCGAAGAGAGAAGGAAACTACTTCAAAATTTTGGTATCATATTCCGATTTTCTATTCAAATTACTGTCAAAAATAACAAAAATTGAATGAACAACCATAAATTACTATCCTCATACAGTTCAACACAAAAAATCATGCATATGTATGTACGTACATAATAGTAACTAAATTTAGTTACTAGAACACTTTTTACTCCACGATTTTTGCATCTCATTGATTGTGCAAGACAGTCTTGGTGCAGTCGGTTGTTCACCTTTCGCCAATAATATCTAAAGCGGGTTGTTCTTAATGATTCCTTTTGCAATTTTATAGCTCCGGATTTTAAAGAGCTTGCCGTGATCTTACACACTTTCATATCTTACTTTTTCCAAAACCCAATACAGAAGACATGGTTTGCTATTGATACTCGAAATAAATATTAGGTGTGGTAAAAAGTAATCCATTATTTTCCCAATTGTGTTATTTTCCTGTATCTCGCGTTGTATAAGACATATCGGGTTGTGTCGGATGGCGTTTGAGAAATAAAATTTCGTACATAAAAAGATTTTCTTACAATTTTGTGATTGCTTGATTAAGCGTGCTTCAAAGATGGTTACTAGCACAGAGAAAATATTCTATACGAGTCTTTTACGGGTTTTCTTCGATAAAGGCGAAAACCCAAGCCAGGCGGTTGAAAATGTGAGTGTCGTTTATGGTTCTGATACTGGTACAGTTGATCATAAACAATTTCAGTCCGGTAATTTTTATCTCAAAGATGCACCACGCATTGGAAGGCCCATTGTCGAAAATTTCGATAAAATCATGGGCATTGTCAAGTCCGACCTTGAAATAAGCACTTTTGGGATTGAATAAGAGCTAAAGACTGGTTATGAAAAGAAGCTGGATATATGAGTGGGGAAAAAAACTTCATGAACCGAATTTCAATTTACGAATCGTTGCTGAATCGCAATAATATCGACCTGTTTGTGAAGCAGTTGATGACTAGAGAGCCGGCGGAACCTGTGGCCAAGCTAGGATTGACGGCAAGGAAGGTTTCGCTGTGTGTTTGGTGGGACTGGCAGGGATTTATCCACTATGAGCTACCTTCATATAGCAAAACTCTTAACTCGGAACTGTATTGTCAACAATTCGACCGTTAGAAGGAAGCAATCGCACAGAAGCGGACAGCTGTGGCCAATAGGAGGGGAAATGTCTTCCATGTGTACAACGCCAGGACACATACATCGATAGTGACTCGCCTGAGACTCTAGGAGCTTGGTTAGAAGGTCCTTAGGTATTCACCTTATAGTCCCTATCTGGCACCAAGTGATAACCATCTGTTCCTGTCCATGGCGAGCAATTTTACTGGTGAAAAATTCGCTCCAATAGAGGCTTGTGACAATCGACATTTATACATTAAATTGAAAGCTTCATTTACCAGAGTTATAATATTTCAAGAGAGGCCTGTGGAAATTGATTATAGCAATTTTCGTCAATAGGGATATAGATTTTATAAGAGTGGCATATTAACTTGATGGCTTACATCACCCGAAAAATCTGCCAAATAAAGCTCTCGGAGTGCATTTTTGGGCGGTTGATTCCATCAGGCGATCCAATTGCTGACAGTTTATATCCGAGTCAGAGCTTGAATGTCGGGGATCAGCTTAGAGTGTATTCTTTATTTTCAATCCAACAAAACTCATAAGAAAACTTTCTTGTTCGTTAATATTATCTTGGATACTGTTCGTGCTGGCGAACGGTCCTTCGACCACTAGCATTTTCATTTGACGTTGCTGCAAGTGATCCACTTTTGATATCTGTTTCAGAAACGGAGTTGGAACGGATATTTGTACAATATATGTATTTTACAGCTATTTGGAAGCATTTATTTTGTTTTCTTCATTCAAATAAAAAAAGTGACTTTAAATTCCTTTTTAAATTCTTCTATAATCATGTTTGCATAGTTTTATAAAATCAGTTATATTTATGTACTGGTCATAAGCTTTATGAATATAAGCAAGAAAAGGTTCTGGTCAAAAAAGCTACAACAGTTTCATTCTAACCTTCAACATTTCAAAATATTCTCGTTTAGATTGGGCATTGTACAGTATGTAGTCCAAAGGAAAAGGGATAAAGAAGATATTAGTGATTTTCATTCTTAAATTCCTCTATCTGCTGATGTAACTAGACAGGTGGGGTTAGTTTTGGAACCAGGAGCATCAATATATATACTGTTTGTGATACCACTCCTTTCGATTCCCTTACAAATATTGTTATCTCCTTTACCTAACCCAATTCCACTCATATGCAGGGTATTTGCGTTTCTTTTTCCCCATTGTTCTAACAGCTTTTACAGCATGTCCTAAAAGAATCTGTTTGTCTATATGCATACTATCTCAGCAATACTTTTACTCCCATATTTTATATGTCCTCTCTGATAAAGTAGTTTACGATAGTATATTTCGCGTAATTTTTTCCGGTCCCATTTTGTCAAAATTTGGGTTTATTCCCGGGGTTTTGGGGTACACTATTGAGAGTTGTCGGCATTTTGCATATCGCGATAAAGAAAATAACTTTGATTCACGCCAAAGTGAACATCGACTATTAAGAGATACACAGAAAAAACAGAGAGTGCGGGAGAAAGGGAAAGTTACCATTTACGTCCAAGCTGTTATTGAACAGGTGAAGTATATTCAAAGTAAATGAGTTCAATAAGTAAAATGAGAATTTGAAAAAGCAAAGAGGAAATCTATCGAACCGAAATGACAGAGAGTGTTACAAGCTTCTTATAAATCTACTATGGATTTCCGCCTCGCTTCATTTCGCGCCAATTGTTGATTTAGGTCAAAAGTGTAATTCCAATTATCACTAAGAAAAACTAACGGCGCGTAGATGAACGAATCAATGAACTGGTGATTCAATAAAAAATTAAAAAAAAAAAAATAAAAAAAAATGACCCAACCGACAATGGTTATCGCTAAAACGGAAGGAAGAAAGGAAGGATGGCAATGACAACAGGAAGGTCACATAAAAATCAAAGTGAAGTACCTTTAACAGCCAAACATTTTGACATTCAGCCGTAGTTTGTTGAACTCTCAACTCATTCCACTTGACGCTCTTATTTCCAGCAAAGCTAATAGTGGTGCGTCGCGACGCTGACACAGCCAATGAAATCGATAATGACGATTTTGAGTGCTGCCAATAATGCTGGTGCATTGACTTGTTGACCGGTGCGTTGCGCAGTGGCTAGGTTTGGCCTAGTCTTGTGCTGTGACTATACAGTGGGGAATATTACGCTTAGTTTGGAAGCTGCTCGCTGTGATGGTCATGTCAATGATAATGATACTGATGATGATAGTGTTGATATCGATGATGGTGGTGAAAACAGGTGGTGACGATTCTATTGATAATGATGAATGTACGTGAGTGTTTTTATGAAATGAAAATTAAAAGCTACTCATAAAAAGCCGTCAGACTCAAATTGGGGGAGGAGCTCGGCCGAAAATCGCTTCAATGGCTATGAAGCACCATATATATATGTATATATAAACTTAACGTGTCAATTTGTGGTTCACGGCTCTTGTCTGAGGTAAATTTTAACGCTCCTGCTCATGTATCTAAGCAGTTTGGGTAATTGCTGCTAAAGTCATGCAAAATAAATTATGAATTGAATGAACCTATTCACCGATTGTGTCACGATTGTAATATGCATTCCAGCATCTTTGACTCCATTTTGAGTACCAAAAAGATTATTTATGATTATCGCAACAATTAAATTTGAATAATCTTTAATTTCTAAATTTCAGCTGTTGAATAAATTTATTTTCTGTAGCTAAGCTTTAAGTCTTGACATTTTACAAACTTCCTCATTGGTATCTTACTTTCACTGAAGAATAGTCTGATTCTCTCTAAAAGCACGATTAAAATACATTAGGTCTATCATACTATACATACACCTTTGTTGTTCTGCTTATAATAAGAAGTACAAATATAAATCTCGTGCCGAAAATCGACAACAGCAAAAATAAAATTCGCTATATGCTAGCGGTCCTGATACCTTAGTAGTCCATTATGTTTGTTTCTTCCTTTTCGCTGCGATGGTGGAATACGCCGGTGCGGGATACCATCTGCCGAAATTGTCGATAAAATGATGGCACTCTTCGAGTTTGATCATCATAGGTGGACTGTTTCGATTGTTCAGGAGCTAAACAGTGCATAAAAATTGGATGGAGCAAATTGAAAAAGGCGCGATACACATGGAAGCTCGATGCATGGGTGCTGCATAAGTGTACGAGAAAAACAACATAGACGGAGTTTTCATCTGCTAATCGTTGTTGAATCGTAACAAACGCGGCCTATTTTTTAATCGAATGGAGACTGGTGATGAAAAGAAGATAAACCGCATAACTCTAAGTCTAATATTGATTACTTTTTACCAAGCCAATAATTTGGACAGTTCATATTCGGGTCTCTAAATAATCATTGGATCATCTCATTCAAAAGTAATGCGGAAGGAAGATTTTCCCAACTACTTTCCACAAAAAGCAAATATTTTTTTCAATCGGCTATCTGCTCCTCAGGCCTGTTGTTTTTTCACAGTACAGTGGTGTGGGAAAGTGACACTAGATACTTTTTTGGGAAGAGAGAACCCTTCATGCATAGAAGAGTCTTCATTTAGACTTCCCAGTTACTTACTTCACTTTCTCGAAACACTTTTGATAGTTTTTGCTTACAACCAGCCTCGGTAGCTTTTCTTTTTCAGAGCATTTAGGTTTCCCGGTTTTATTTTTTCACTTTAAAGTTTTAAGTTTGTGATCACTAGTCTCAGAGAATAAAAAAAAATTGACAATCGTATTTTTTCTAATTATGGATTGCC